TATATATATATATATATATATATATATATATATAATTGTTAGAACTGTAAATTTACAGTAATTTTTACTATTTTTCAAGGCTACACTTTTAAAAGATGAAATTGTCCAGTGAGCTTTTTCCAAACAAAATTTTTTGTTTTGTTTTACACTTATGTAAACAAAATGACAAATAAAATCTGTCTAAAGTCTTAAAGTCTAAAACAATTAATGTCATAATATGAATCCAAGAAAAAAATCTGTATCAAAATGTAAAGATTTATCTTTACAATCATTCAGTTAGTCTGAGATTCTGTAGAAGCTGATGTAAAGCTTCTAGCTCTAAAAGATCTTCCATAATCACAATTTCCACTTTTAGGAAGGTCACGGTATGGCTCAATGGCGCCCCCTAATGGTTACAAAAACAAACAGCATCTGCTTGATCAGTTTAAACTTATAACTGTAGATCCATCCATATTGCCATATAATGGCAACATAAACTGTATATTTGTTACACAGACAGACCTCTGAGCCGAGCTACACAACTTTAAAGAATAAACTTTGTTTCTCACGGCTTCTTTTTTTCAGTCGGTTACTGATTGGCTTAACGAGGAGCCAGAAACACTCTGGTCCCTCAAGCAAAGATGTCAAACAGATACTATCAGCTGTAGAAAAGCATGGAGAAAGTCTGCTCTCATTATAAGTCGGGGGGAGGCTGACCTGTTGAGTGTCGCCGTGGGATTCTTTCATCTTTAAAGTGCACACATGCATGAAGGACGTGTTAAGGTAAGTTAACTGACTCTCTGAAATAAATGGAAACAAGCAGAAGGTTTTGGTTGAAAACAGCCTGGAGGCTGATTGATGAGGCGACCAGAGAGTTTCATTTGAACTAAAGAATGTCTGAAGAAAACAAGAAAATAAAAACATTTTAAAAAGTCAGTGTGATTTTAGGTTTGCTGGTCAGAATTTCTACTGATGGTGGGAGGAAATAATTAGCTCAGAATTTTGCCTTAAAACCAAAATAAATAAAAACTCAGCCTTTTGTTTTCTGTCTGATGTCAAACCAAGCCGCCTTTTTCCTCTTTTATGCTGCTCAGTTCTTCTCTGTCTCAGGACACTTCAGATGAAATTATTTCTTTGCTAAATGCAGGAAAAGAACTGGCAAACAGATGAACGTGACACTTCCTGGTTTATGGAAACTCAGCTCTGACCTGTAGGGGACCTGTGGGGGACCTGTGAGGGTTCTGTAGGGGGACCTGTGGGGGACCTTTAGGGGTCCTGTGGGGATCCTATAGGGGTCCTGTGTGGATCCTGTAGGGGTCCAGTATGGGTCCTGTAGGGGTCCTGTAGGGGATCCTGTAGGGGTCCTGTGTGGGTCCCGTAGGGGACCTGTGGGGATCCTGTGGGGATCCTGGAGGGGACCTGTGGGGATCCTGTAG